GGGGGGGGGGGGGGGGGGGGGGGAGGGAGGGAGGAAGGAAGGAAGGAAGGAAGGAAGGAGCTATGCTGTGCAACTTTAAACAGTTGCAAGGGAGCCAATTCAGCAGGATCCCTAGTAATGAGAACCCATTTACATGGATTTCCCAGCAACCATTAGAGCTACAGACTCAATTTTTAAAAAATGGAGGATGCACTTCTACAGAAGCTCCAAAAAGCCTGATAGAGTGCAAGCCGTCTATCATGCATTAATGAACAGAGAGCAAGAATAAGCAGGATTCCAGGTCAGGAAACGCTAATAGCAAAAGGAGCACAGGGCAGGTGGGCATTCCTATAAAAAAACTCAATGGTAAACAGTTCCAGGGAGGGTTAACAGCAGAAGAAGCGAATGTGGCTGCAAAAAAAGCTTGCTGAAGATCTGAAAATGAAAAAAATAGACATATCTGGGAAGTGAAAGGTGAGGCAAATCACCAAGGAAGAATGCATACAGGTAGCTGGAATTACCAAGACAGCATCAGAAAAGCTAACGCTCAGAGTGAGCTGAGATTGATGAAAGAGCTTAGCATGAAAATGATTTCTCCAGGTACATTCAAAATAAAAAGAATCAGGATGCTAACTGCTCAATAAAGATGGCAAAATGCTAAGAGCCAACAAAGAAAAGGTAGAACCGTTCAATTCCTATTTGGTTCAGTCTTCTCCAGAAGGGCAATTGTGAAGCGGAGGATAAAGGGGCAGGATTGAAGCTGGAGACCAATAGAGACATGATCAGACCTGTTGAATCAGTCTGAGTCTCCCAGCTGATGGTCTGGCTGAACCTTTATGTATTATTTCTTAGTAATCCTGGAGAATGGATGAAGTATCAATAACGAGAGAATGACAAACATGGCTCCTATCTTCACAAAAGCAAAACAAAAAACAAAAAACAGGAGGAACTGTGAAATAACAGGCCAGTCAACGTGACATCAACTCCTGGAAAGATTCTGGTACAGATCATAAAACAAATGCTTTTTATGCACCTTGAAAACAACATGGTAATTACCAGAATATAGCACAGATTTGTTAAGAACAAGTATTTCCAGACCAGTCAGATTTCATTTAGTAACTTCCTTAATAAATTGTCAGCAAACTATTGTTGTAATATATCTTGATTTCAACAAAGCATTTGACAAAGTACTCCATCGTTAGCAAGCTAGTTGAGCGTTTGTTGGATGGCATGGCAATTAAGCGGATACATAGCTGGCTTAAAATCATAGCCGAAGAATGTTTATCCATGGCTCTTCATTAAACTGAAGGTATTAGTCCTTCATTAAATGGGAGGTATTTATTGAGATGTCAAAAGGTTCAACTTTAGACCCTGTGCTCTTCAACATTTTTATTAATGACCTGAATGAGGAGGTGAAGGGAATGTTTGTTAAACTTGCAAGCAACACAGAAATGGGTGAGGTAGCTTATACCTTAACGGATCTAAATAAAATTCAAAACAATCTTAACAAATTAGAAAATGAAATAGCAGCCTGAAATTTAGTAAAGACAAATGCAAATCCTGCCCTTAGGAAACAGGAAACAGATAAATCTCTAGCCAGGGAAGAGAAGAGAAGCAGATGGTACTTGGAGGAAGGTCATCCTGAGGAACGTCAAGATGTTGTCTCTCTTACTTCGGAATGCAAGATATGGAATGATGGATTAAAGTTATAGAAAGGCAGATTTTGGTTGAATGTTAGAAAAAAAACATTCTTAGTGGATAGTGGGACCAAAGACTTCGATCTCTAGACGGTCATTGGTCAGGAATGTTTTAATTTGGATTCCTGCACTGGGGGAAGGGAGGGGCCCTTTCCAATCCTATGATTCTTTTTTATTACATACTATTGTGGCTATATGCTATTTTAAAAAATAGCATATAGTACTATTAGTAATGGCAGAAAAGTGCTTGTTCCTCCTCCATTGCTGTAAAACCTAACACTCTGAAGTAAGAAGTAAGTAAGTAAGAAGCTCTGAAGTAAGAGCCTGGTGGGGTTCCCATGGGAAGTTACAGTAACTTATGGTAAGACAACTTGAATGGCTAAAAGTCAGCTAGAATTTAAAGCAATTAAATAAGCTTGCACTTGATGTGAAGAAGGCAAGCCATCAAAGCACAAGAGAGAGACCCTGGAGGCACGTGATAAAGAGATAGACTGAGGTTAAATTCCTTATCAAAGAAGGAATGACTGTGGTCTTACATCTAAATTATACTGTACAAGTCTAATCCAAGACATGCAGGAGTTCCAACAGTGATGGTCTGGAATCAGATGCGCTTCCAAGAGCCGAAGTCATCAGTGATAAAAAGTCTACAAGTAGCAAAGCTTCTCCCCGGCTTGCGGTTCATTTTCAAGAAATACTGCATTTCTTCATACCTGTGCAAATCAGGGTGTGTTGGTGTGTGCCCACACTAGAGCATTCCAAAACCTCCGATAAAGTGAACCTTTCTCTAGCGCACAAGCTTTGTAAGTGTGAGAAGTTCACACACAGTTCATTTTGTCTGATCGTGGTTTTTGAATAAGGGCTAATTAGTAAGCCGTAAGAGAGCCAGTTTGGTATAGTGGTTAAGACATCAGGCTAGAAACTGGGAGACCGTGAATTCTAGTCCCGCCTTGGGCACAAAGCCATCTGGGTGACCTTGGGCCAGTCCCTCTCTCTTGGCCCTGGCAAGGAGGCCAGGGCAAACTACTTCCAAAAACCTTGCCAAGAATACTGCAGGGGCTAGTCCAGGCAGTCACCAGGAGTCAACACTGACTCGAA